ATTTCTCTTGTGCACGCTCATAAGCGCTCGGACAATCCCCTGAAAGTCAAGTGCGCTAACGGCTCTACTTTTTGCACGGACCGCATGGTCTTATTGAAGGTAGTTCACGACGGTGAGCTTAAAACATGGTGGTTCTACGTTACCAAGCATCTCTCCCATGCGGTCATCTGCGGCATGGACCTCTTGCGTGGTCTTAGCTTCACGTTGAAGATGTCACCAGGATCTCAAGAGGTCTCAACGAATGCCGAGCAGGGTGAGGTTGGCTGTACCTTCACTTCGATAGTGACTACATTGAACACCATTTCGCAACGGTCTGAGGTTAACTCGAGGGACTTTGGCCAGGATACTGTGCTCTGCTCATCGGAGAAACCGGTACAATTGTTAGCAGACGATACTCTGGTCGACATCGTCCCGGACATCTCTAGTCTGCCAAACTCGCATCCTGAACCAATACAGCGGCACGTCCATCGCATTCCATGGGTGAGCGAGGCGAGGCCCAACCGTAGCCGGTCTCTTAGACGTGCGAAGCAGATGTCGAGGAAGCTTGAAGAGAAGCTGAGGAAGGACCCAGTGGCGTACCGACAATGCTGTGAGCAGATCGACATGTTGGTGAAGCGTGGGTTCGCAAGACCGGCATCCGAGGACGAGATCAATCATGCTTACGGACTATTGGTGGTTCGTCGAGCTTCTTCGTCCACGACGCCTATGCGTGTGGTATTAGATGGATCTACTTTGCGAGGGTTCGTTTCAGCCGGAGTGATATATGATCGGTCCGTGGTCAGTCCGTTGTTGGTACTCCGCCGCTATGCTTTCTTCACGCTAGCGGATCTAGAGAAGGCCTTCTATTCACTCTCTATTGTCAGCACCGACTGTGGTGCTCAAGGTTACTACTGGGCTGGGCAATGGTACTGTACCATTGGTACATACTGCTCCGAGCGGGCATGGGACTTCCCGCTTCGCCTTCTATGCTGCAAACGTCCATGCAGGTCACTCTCAAAGAGTTTGATGATCACGTTGCTCCTACTCTGCTATTGGCATCGTACTGCGTTCGGTCCTTTATGGATGATATTGCACAAGGAGCTAGTTCTGTAAACGACAGAGACCTCCTTGCCGAGGGAGTGAACAGTGTTCACTCGTGTGTTCACTGAACACCACGATCACTAAGAATGGCTTCTCTGAGCAGCGACCTAAGAGGATACAGAATTGGGTGAACGGCGTGGATAATGAAGACGACAAAGCCGGGGCGCTGTTTGGGGTCTTGTGGAACCCACAGACGGACTCCTTATCACTGGCGGCGGTCCCTGATCTCGGTCATGCAGGAAGTGACAAAGGCCGATCATCGAGTCTAACACTGCGTAAATATATCTCCTGGTTGAACTCTCACTTTGACCCGATGGGGTTGAGGCTTGAGGAAGCCATGGCAGGTAGGCAGTTGCTGCGTACAGCTGTTCGTTCGGGCATCTCACTCGATGATCCTTTCCCAGCTGAGCTTGTGAACAGGGCTCGGGCGTTACATGATACGTATGAAACGGCTCGAGCAACTCCTCGATTCGTAGAGGGCGAGACTCTCGTGGTTGCATGCGACGCTTCACTGGTCGGTTGGGCTTGCACGGTGACTGACTGCCAGGGTACTAGACTCTATGCGCGTGGAGGTCTGCATGACGCCGGGCATGAAAGCTGGAGTATACCACGGCTTGAGCTCTATGCATTGGTAGAAGCCCGGAAAGTCATCGACGGTCTCTTACGGGATGACCCGGTAGTGAGGAAAATCGTTCTCGTCAGCGACAGTGAGATTAATGTTCAACGCCTCACATCGAAAGGTAGCATTTCCAACAAGCTGGTCCCGTGGGATGTCCGTACTATATCATCTATGAGACAGTGGCTGAGCACAGTACCGGTGGTTCTAGGGCATGTTCGAGGAGCTGGTAATCCTTCTGACTGTGCATCTCGAGCGCTGTACCCGAATTCGTATGATTCGAGCCTCTATCGGTCCGCGATATCGACATACGTGAAGGAGTTCGATGGTATGCGAGAGCGCTTGGTATCTCCGAATGCTGATGACGATCTTGGGTACGGCTCGCTCGACGCTATGATGT